ACCAACGTCTGCATCCCCGGCCCTGAGACATCCATTCCCGGTCCTGGGAGAGCTGTGAGGCCAATCACACCGCCTGAGACCGACGTGACGGCAGTTCCCGGCACAGCCGATGCGACGAGGCCGATCTGAACGTGCTCTTCGATGTCTAGTATAAGGACGCAAAAGACAATAGAGTCTGCATGATCGATACCAAATGTCATAATGTCTAAAGACATTAGCCAGAGGACCACCCCTTGACCAAATTGTTTGATTGTCTGGATCCATCATATGTCCTAGTACAAGGACAGTGACAACAAAACATTTTAGCATAAAGAACGACAGTCATTGTAACAACAACTAGTTCAATTGTATTGTCAATAATTTTATTACATTTCGCTTCTCCAGTAGCCAGGCTTTGAGACTGGAGAATGATACAGTCTATATTGTAATCGAAACTGATTGCTGTTATTCAGTACATCCAGTTATCAAACTAACGAGTACAACGGCCATATAAGATTTGTTCAATGATTCACTGCTATATAATAATATCTTAAATACAAGGGAGGCATGTATGGTATTTATTAGCAGGACATCTGCATAGTTTTTGTACAATATCCAATGATCATGTGCAACAGGAGTTCCCTGGCTCTACAGCTGTAATAGATGACCTAGTACAGGTGTCTCCCGCTGCAAGGTCAGAGGTCAAGTCTAAAAGTCTTGACAAAAGCAAGTCTCTGTGTCATTCCTCAGTTTGTCACTTCTTAGAGTTAGGTCCTAGGTCAGACAGAAAAGGACTATTCTGTTATGAATGTTAGACAGGACAGGTTTCAGGATGCTTAATATTCAGATGGACAAAATCACATCCCCCAACTTCATCTCATCAATTGAACGTACTAACCCTGTACTTGAGGACAATCTGTCGTCCCTAGCTTCGGCCTCCGACAAGATCCACAAGACCACCCCACTAATACCAAATCTCCATGCCATTTATCCCACCTACTGACCCTGTACTTGAGGACAATCTGTCGTCCCTAGCTTCGGCCTCCGACAAGATCCACAAGACCACCCTACTAATACCAAAGCCTCATCATCTCATCATCCAAAAAAAAACCTTGGTCCGCCATGTTTCCTTCCCGTCATGCTAAGAAATTACATTGAACTTCAATTGCAAGTGCTAAACACAATCAGCGTATATTACACCAAAGCCATCGCCTCTATACACTCCTACCAAAATGAACACACAACCAGATAGGCTTTCAGTTACTGCTCTTTCCAAACATACCGCTAGGCGTCGTCCTTACACTGTGGCCCGGTGACAGGTCCCACAATGCACTTCACTCAACTTTGGCCTGCCCCATTGCATGACGGGAAACAAAATGGCGGCGCCCATAAAATCGAGGTAACGTAGAACAGGTTCCGCTATCGCGAACCTGTAATGAATTTCTTCTCCCAAACTTAACATATGTGCATTACAACATATTTGAATCGAAACTGCAAATACTGGTTGCATTATTGTTGAAGAGTGTTACAAGATAGGGTATGGGACTATTCCTGTAACGATTAGTTCGTGTTTTAATAGTGTCCAATAGGCTGCTGTTTCTTGTTCTTCTACCACTGACGTCTCCCCGGAAGGACTCAGACTGTAGTAGTCTTCTTGCGAATGTCTGACAAAGGTGTTCACGTCTTTGCTGTAGTGTCATGAGGCATAGCGTGTTGCAAGCGTCAGTATAGGTTGTGTAGTCAGGCCCAAGGATGATTCGAAAAGCCCTTCGCTGTATTCTTTCCAGTTGACGTCTTTGGGACTGTGTAATGGCTGGTTGCCAAACTGGGACAGCGTACTCACAAGTGGGTCGGACAAAACTTGTATATATGGTGACAAGATCTTCTCTAGTAACTCCGAAAGATTTGAGTCTTCTCAAGAAGACTGAAGCCTCTGGCTTCCTTTCTTGGCCATGTGGTCCACCTGGTGTTTCATTTTAGGTCAGCTTGTATATGGAGCCCCAGGAGTTTAGCTACTTGAACTTGTACTAGGGGGTAGTTGTCAATTTTACGGGTCCCATTCGTGAGTTTTTGTTAACTATAGCCGCCTATGGCAAAATACGTAACTTTACATAGGCCAAAACCCAATAATTTGAATGACAGCCATCTAGTCTATCCAATCAATTTTGAGCACAATGGCCCTACATTACGTCAAAAAATTCCCAACCAGATCTAACCCAACAATCTCTTTTTATTTATTTATAAACTGCACTTGGCCACTCTCCGCCAGAGGTCCTCCAGCGCTGCTACCTCCTGACCGCATTACCCATCACAACAGCGTGTAAACATCCGACCTGTCGCGCGGATGTCAACACTTACCCACTAATTTTAGCACATACAAACAACCTCTCATATCACAAGCGGTTTACGCCAACTGACTTAGCTAAAATGCAATTTCTGGCGGATATAAACACACATCCATACACGCATTTAATTTTTAGTACGATCTACTTGAGGGTACCCACGCGGAAGAATACCGGAATGAGACCTTTAGTGAGGGTAGTGGTGGCACAGTTTTTGAGAAGTGCAGAAACATCACCTTGCATTTGCGAGGGTAGGTAGGTAGGTAGTTCGGTAGGTAGGTAGGTAGTTCGGTAGGTAGGTGGGCAAGGCGTGGGGAGGGCGCTGTTGACGCCTGCATGACCCTCAAAAGGTTAAAGGTCATGGGGCATAGAGAAGTCATAAAGAAGTGAAATTTTGTTTTGGGTGTAACTATTGTTCTTTTGTTAGTATATTGATGACGAAATTGTTTACAAGGTAAGTGGGGATTAGAAAAGGATGAGAAGGAACCCTGTAAAAGGTAAAGCACACACAAAAAACATATTGTAAGTTACACTACAATGACTATGTACAACGCAAACCTGTCTATATTAGCAACCGCTAATATTACTATCTAGTTTGCATAGATTATATTAAATCACGTAACTGTAATAACTACTCTGCAAGCAGAGGTTTGGGTTATTTTTGGCGTGTTTTCAGTTTTTTTTATCAGGGTTTATTTTTTTGCACTGGAATTTTTTTTCACGTGAAAAAAAACCCAACTAAAACATGCCAAAAATAACCCAAACCTCTGCTTGCAGAGTAGTTATTACAGTTACGTGATTTAATATAATCCATATGCAAAATAATCTATCCAAATCTCTGCTTGCAGAGTAGTAACATTAACATCAACATACATAATAACGCCATGTTCCTTGTTCAATGATTGCATTATTTAATGGATTATTTAATGATATTATAGAACTTCCATAAACTTGACCTCTGATTGAGTGAGAGCTTCAAAAACTGCTCAGCAATTCACGATGTCCTACATGTCCCTGCAGCCCGGCTGGCAGGTCAGGTGGTGTGGATCACAGGAGCGTCCAGCGGGATAGGAGAGGCCCTGGCCGTGGAGCTGGGCAGGCTGGGGGCCAGGCTGGTGCTGTCTGCCAGGAGGGAGGGGGAGCTCAGGAGAGTCAAACAACGATGTGTGGGTAAGATATCAGTCAGATCTGAGATGGAAACCTTACTGCATCCATCTGTCAGTAATTATTCAGATTATACATGTATTTACTTCATACAACAAATGTTTGCAGCTTCTTCTTGTCCTGGCAAAATCCAAAATCCATGCATACAGACTATCAGTTTGGATGATAGGGTAAATGAAACACAGATGAAGCTCACTGTTTGTTGTTGATGACCTTTCACTGGTGTATGCATCGGTTGTTATTATTAATAAGACGCTGAGTAGTCTTCTTTGGCTTTTAAACATGGCTCTCTGAGGTGGCGATTAAGAAAAAACTAGAAACAAGGCTTTAGCTGGTAACCAGGCTGTACAGATATTTTTGTGACTAAAATCCCGTGGATTTGTAGTTTCCATGAAGGAAGAAGCCAGAGGACACGGTACAGAGGGGTGTTGTCCCACACCAAACAACTTACCTGTGGTTTGGCACAGGGCACCAAGCTCGGTCCGATCGTGTTTATCATCCACGTAAACAAACTACCGGACATTATATGTTCCCCGTCGTGGGCTTTCGTCGACGATCTGAACCTAGTGGAGTCCCGGCTTGTATCTGAACCATCTAGAATTCAGAACGACCTCGATCGTCTATCCGGCTGGACAAACGACAAGAACATGAGACTAAACCCGGGCAAGTGTAAAACTATGCAGGTCTGCTTCTCCTGTAATCCTCCCCCGCCACCTGCATTAAACATCGATGGTCACCAGCTAGCTGTTGTCAGTGTAGCTAAGTGTCTTGGGGTGACATTTCAAGCTGACTTGAAGTGGGACGCTCACGTCAAGGAAACAACCAAGAAGGGGAACCAGAGGCTATACTTGCTCTGTCGTTTGCGCCAATTCAACCCGCCCGTTGAAGATCTTCTTACTACATATACTTGTTTCGTCCGTCCTGTGTTGGAATATGCCGCGCCTCTATGGCACCCTGGTTTGACCAAAGCACAGAGAAGGAAGATTGAAAACATACAAAGAAGAGCCACCAGAATCATCCTTGCTAAGGAGTTCACGAACTACAAGTCAGCACTGGAGACGCTACAGCTACAGACTTTGGAAGATCGCAGAATAGCCCTGTGCAGACGGTTTGCCAACAATATACAAGCTTCTACCCTCTACCGACACTGGCTGCCACAAACCAGGGGTAGTGTCAGTGAGAGGATGACTAGACAACATGCAAAACTTGACCAATTGCCAGCGCGCACAGAGCGGTACAACAGAAGTACATTACCGTACCTTGTTCACATTTTAAATCATGAATAGTCTGTGTAAATGTATGATTTTAATATGATTTAATGACTGTTTTTACAACACGGAATGATGATCAGGATTTTATTTCACTGTCTAAAGCTTTTATTCACGCAATTCAGCCTTGTGGCTGCCTAGTGATGGAGCTGTATTGTGATTTGTGTTTGAAATAAACCAATGATAATCTTTTTTTGTATCTTATACAGAGACAGGAAAAGTTACTGATAATGATGTGCTGGTTGTACCACTGGACTCTGTTGCCTATGACACCCATGCTGGATGTGTGGAGCATGTTCTTGCTCACTTTGGCAGAGTAAGTTGTTTTTATTGATACATCAGAAAGAGAAATAAACAAGAAGCCATAGGTGACAATCCTCCGTGAAGTTTTATATATTTCAACAAAATCCCAAGCGTCAACGCCAGACCTACTGTGCAGACATTATAATTAGGCAACGGTTAATGCAATGAGGGCGCGTCACAAGCATAAAACATACAAAGAGCTAAATCCATTACTGCTCCCAGGGCGTGTAAAGATACTGTGCTTCAAGTTCGAAGTTCATTTTAATTACACACACACAATCATTGCATCCACATAAAGATCGGACTATCATGGTCGTGTCTAGTAACAAAGATCAGCCCAACCGTCTTACCGTGCCTGTACCTAATTAAGCGCGCCTGGAACAGGCCAAATTCCAGCAACAGTTGTGGTAAGCACCGCGAGTGTTACTACCGCCGGCCAGATAACCAGGATATCTGCTTACAGTACCTCTGCTACCAGACAACTGCCTAAACCTACGGCCTATTCCACGGATTGTAAAAGTAGGGATGTTTCTAAAATATGCATTTACTTCAATATCAAAACAGCTACGGTAAAAATAAAAAGACGTGCATCATCCCGGACATAATGCCACACCACATGCGAAATTACACAGAAATGCGACGTACGGAAGAATGCGTTTTTGGCTGCGAACATTCTTCCAAAAAACTTTGGCATCTCTTAAGCATGGGCAAAAACATCTGGAACCACTTATCAAAACCACCCCGTATCTGCATGAAGTTCCACCCCCCCCACTGCTATTCCAAACAACGCGTTTTTNCTTTGCTTGTGCAGCAAATTTTGTAGAAAATAAAAACCCTATGGCAAGTCCACTCCTTTTCCTCTCATGATCAATGACACGCTGTTTACACAAAACACACCCCTTTATGCTTATTACCCTTAGAAAGCAAAGTTGCAGTGGTCATATACAACACTGCCATGGGTTGAATTTAAACTTCCTTGTTTGAACATACCACTTTTTAGACAAGCCATTTCGTCATTACAATGTAGACCAATGAATCAGGAAGTGCATCCTACGTACTGTCCAAGAAAAGCGCCCTACGGCTAAAATTATCATTGCAGGAAAACCCAAATCTAGAAGCGGCAAAAATGGTACAAACCGCTAGGAGTCCTCATTAGCGCGTGCTGGTGCAGAAGTTCAAGTTCAGCCTGCCAGAGGGTGAGGGGCCGCCCAACCTCAGTGCAGCTCTTCAAGACGCCGACTGCATGGCTGGTCAAGACTTGCATGCAGGATGTGCGCCGGCCCCATGGCCACAGGAAAAAGTAGCTTGGTTTTCATTCACTCCTGTCCTCATCAGAAGTTACGAAAAGAGAAAGAGAACAGGTGGAATGGGGGAAAAACAGGTGATGTATCAAGTTGGCAGGAGTGGGTTGGCGGGAGCACTTGGACAGTAACCTGTCGTGGGTTTCTTGACAAATCACTTTTCTGTCTCCTTTCCTCTGTCTAAGTATCTGTACCGTTGAAAAAGTTTAAAAAAAAAGAAGAAAATAGTTAAAACTCTTGTTCCTCCTCTCTTGTTCTCTCTTCTTTTTTTTATTCAGTTATACCCCAATTAGAAACGGGAATGAGGGCAACATGTCAATTTAGAGTGTTACTCGCTCACCCGCATGACAAGATCGTATGAAAAGACATTTTCGAATCATCTTTTACACCCTCTTGAATCGGACTTGGAATATCCAGAGGATGTCACCATAAAATTTACTTTTTGTTACCATAAGTCCCGTGAGACAGTAAAATTAACTTGTCCAAAAGTCGTTCCGCCGGAAGTGTCTGGTCCCATGTCTGTTACACGCAGGAGCAGACCTCAAATATTTGTCTGAACAAATCGGCCTCCTTCCGGAGACCCCAGCGTCTAATGCGCTCTCAGATTGAAGAACAAAGACAAACAAAGAGAAAGGGTTTCTTGTAACAGAAAGGGCATATATGGTGATCTGATTTTCTGATATTGATTGTGGGAAAACCGATGGATTAACGCATGAAGGACTTACGTTAACAAAGTAGATTGTTGTGTCTATTGACACATTTGTCCACGATGCTGATTCGGAACACCTGGTAACAGCTATGCTCACTACAAATGAAAAGAGTCGTTAACAATCTTAATGAAAGAACTTATGTTTCTTATCATTTTGGGGGTGCAGAAATACTTGAAGCATAAGACCGTATACATGTAGGTTGCACAGGTGCGTCTCCTGGCGGTTATATAAAGAACTACTTTCCAGCTCAGGTAGACATTGTCACCTGCACATCATTATGTGGGTTGTCGATAATTAAAGTACAAGTGAATTATTCGTCTTAAACTTATCAGTACGATATACAGAAGGTGTGTGGTATTGTAGGCATAACTATGATACAATGGAATAGTGTAAATTGTGATGTATGCACAGAATGAGAACAGAAATAAAACACATGACGAGATCTGTTTAATGGTCAAAGTCCAACGAACTATAAACATCAATACGTGTGGTTCGAGGAATCAGCTCCCAGGCACACCACGTGGCCTTCTGGCATCAATCTTACACACTTGTTGTGATGAAGTACTAACTCATCACTGTGACTGTCGTACTTTGTGATACGCATTGGACGGATCGATACTGTGGGTTTCTCACAAAGTGGGTCTCTCAGAAGACCAAAGGCAGAAAATCACCATCTTCTCCTTTGAGGTTATGTTCGTTATAGATAAATGTACAGGTTTACGATATGTGTTAATGAGAAAGGCTTGTTAATAGAGCCAGTGAGAATCCCACTATTTTTACTTGCATGTGTAAAGGCCATAAAGAGATACAAGCTAGTCCGGCAACTTGGCCCATGCGCCTCAACAGTAAACTTCGAAGGATAACGTCGGTATTTTATGATCACTTATATACAAGAAGTTGTTATACATTATATCATCATTGTTACAGGAATAAGCTTATCGGCACCTTTCACCTTAGGGGGAATAAGGGGGAATAAGTTTACTTGCTGAAAACTACTGATATTGTTTTCAATGAAATGTTTGGCACATGTACAGGTGGTAGACGTTGCAGAGGTGTAAGCATGTTCTCTGACAGAATCAATGCGTCAAATTTGCACGTAAATCAGCATACCGCTGTCAAAGCATGCAGGAACCTGTGTCTTGCTTGATCAGCAACCTAGCACACAGTATAATGCAGCACTGTTGAAATTGTTTTGGTAGTTTGGTTCTATCTTTTACCAAGTAAGGTCCCGTCCGGGTCCAAGTCCATGGACTCCATTGCTTGTCTTGGCTGGACATGCAATTGGCTGTTTCTCAAATCACTTGTACTAAAGAATAGAGCAGGCAAAATTAGTAGCAGTCCTTTCAAAATCCTACTCAGCCTTGAAATCATTCTGTGATGTTGTTGACATGTGGATGGATTTGATATAATGGGACATAAAAGCTGTAGAAGCTGCGGCGCAGCCAGACACAGAAGGGCGGCCGTTAAGTGCAGCGGGAGCGCATAAACATCTTTTCGACATTTTCCCACCCTGGCGGGGCCTCCACAAAGGCACCTGGGGAGAATGATGGGGTCGTAACAATGAAAAGACACTACGTAAACAAGGTGACAGTGTCGGGACGGACAAATGGAAGTCATTCTGTCGGAGCAAACATTGCTCTGCACGCGAAGTTGGGGCTCATTGGCAACAATCTTATGTTTGCCGTCCTCCAGAAGCTGTTAAAAAAGATCAGTACATTTCTGAAGGCGTAAACTCGATGATAGCTACGGGAAACTGTCTATGTAAACTGTTGATCACTCCTGTAGATGTGGCTGTACAATAATAATAAGAGCAAGTCCGTCCCAAGATGGAATATTGTCATCTGAATGTGAATAGCTAGTAATTAAAAAGAAAGTTTCCCCGTTAACATTAATTTTTAATCATTTTATTCCTAATAGCTCGTCGGGCCTACTCAACCTCTAAGACATCTCTCTTTCCGAAATGCCCATGTTTTTTCCGGTGACCAGTGTACAGTATTTACCACTCCTGTCCGTATGAATGTGTGACAGCCACAGGAAGGGCCGCTCGTGTTGACCTTCCCTTTGCCGTTCTACAGCTCACCGTCAGACGCCCTGTCACCACTGTCAGCCGGAAGATGGATGAAGACTTCTCCGGCAGACAACGCACAGAAAAGGCACGGTTTACCCACCCTGTCCTAAGTTGTTTTACTTCGCCGTGCTCCGTCAGCTCCAGTTTTTCTACATTCTTGTGGCATAGACATGTGGCGGAGTATACTTTATGCACAGAACAAGGACGAGAAATGTCGATTTTCTTCGCGCGCCTGTGTCCCGTTCTCCCTCCGCAAACACATATTCATAATACCAAGCTGTGGCATTCCGGCTCCTGCTTAAAACAGCAATATTTTTATGAAGAAAAAAATAGCTTTATAGAAAATGTAATTCTTACTTAGCAAAGCACCCGTGTATCCGATACTACTCGTTATACTAAAAATAGTAAACAGTGACTCGGGGAACGAATAAGAAACGCCCTGCTGTTCTTCTGAAGCTTCGACGGTATTTAATACAGCTGTACTCCAACTCCAACCTGAAAGCTAGTTTCAGTCGAAAGTTCCTTGTGCTGTGTGCTAGCCCCTGGAGCCCTATAGCGGTCGCTAACAAGACTGGACTCCAGGCTAGCTAGCTGTATGCACTGTGACAGACGTTTGACTGCCTTTGGTAGCATCAAGGAAGTTCGTAATCCAGTCAATGTTCAACTTCAACGCAATGTTTTGTATTTGTATTTTTTTTCTACGTTGTATCCATCCCCAAACAGACACGAAGAGTACTCTGTAGTGACGAAGTGTTTGGCATAGCATACTGTATGTATCGCATTGTTGAAGTGGAACATACTAATACTTCCCTTGGCCCTCCTCCACACCGCCGGTTGTGCTATCAGCTCGGCAGACTTGTTCCGTCGTGCTGCGCCATAACAGAGGCAAGACATGACAGAGGAGGGGTCACCTACAGCAAGAGAGCAGAGAACGGTAAACTTCACGTAACGTAACGTACACATCCTTAACAGGCCGTGGGGGAAACTCTGATAACTAGCTTCTGCCCAGGCTTAACAACGCGCCTGACAAATACAAGGCCACTGTTCAAATGGGCGAGTGCAATAAAATCGTACACGAAAACAATAATCGCAGTAAACGTGATGGTCAGTTTTGCACACCTGTCCAGACCATGTATTGCTTGTCGTATCGTTTCCTTGGGGATGCTTGATTGGAAGACCAAAAGAATGGCTAACTCTTTCGGATAATCTTGCCAAAGTGAAGAAAAAAGAAATCATTTTCTTCTCTACGTTGCAATTTTTTTCACTCAGGATGATTCCCAGTCCTTATCATTTTCTCATTACTTTCTCCATTGTGTTGAGATGTTGTCACGGTCATGTTTTTCTTTCTTCCACTTGTTGTTGTTGTAATCTCTGCCGTTATTGTCAGCCGTTGGTACAAGGCCTGTGTGATGACGGAGGAGCCCGGTCCCTGGGCAGAGCCGTGGCCGTGGTCATGATAAGGACCCGCCAGATAAATCACGGACTCCGTCAGGCGAGAAAGCCCCAGAACCGAGTCTTTGTGTGCCGAGTCACTGTAACCTTCCATTGACGTCCGCACGTGGAGAAAGTCGCCACTGAAGCGGACAGGGTAAGCATCCGAGTTTGTGGGAGAGAAGCGGTGTCAACTTCTGTGTCAGCCAGCTGCTTGCCGTGTATCTGTCGCGAGAAGAAAATACTTATTTTTAGTGTTTTATTCTTGTGTTTCTAGTTGATGGAGAGGAAGGGGGGCACATTGGCTTGCTGTCACACGCGCTATCGTACATATTTTGGTGTTACAAAACTATCTCTTTTGCAAATACACAACATTAAAAAAAGGCGAGAGAGAAATGGATCCGAATCATATAAGGGGCATAATATATAGTGGCTTGCTGCTGATAAATGGACTACATTGCGTCATGTGAAACACTACACTGTTTGCGATATTGTACATTTGAAGAGGGTGTGTCTTATCCGATGGACCTGATGCGCTGTTAGTAGGATCACAGAAAAGAAGTAGCAGCGCCTGTCACTGCGCTACTCATCTATCCCTTCCACTATCAGCAGACGATCTGCCCGAGCATATATGTCTTTCCTGTTCCCATGACAACGGTTGCACGCCCCAGAATTGTCTGTGTTTGGGACGAGTCAGGCCGGGATGAGGCATGTGGCATCAAATCATGCTCTATTTCCCTAACAGGTGGGATTGAGGAGTGGGCATACTCTCTCCTAGTTCCGCCCGCTAACCAACAATCAGCCAGAAAAACCCATTTAGTGCTTGTTTTGCTAAAATACAAGGAGAAAGGTAAACAGATGTTTCAGCACCTTTTCATGGGTGATCCCGGCCGGGGGGTTGGTAAGACGAGCGGGAGGAACGCGGCGGAGGGGATTAGGACTCTACCCCACCAGCGGAAACACGCCAACACATCCAGCCTTCATATAAGTGTTACAACTAGGACGTCACTTTGGAAAAATGCCCAAATGAAAATAAATTCCGGCGGGAAAGAAACGGAAATCAAAACGGAAATAGAGAGAACCGAAACCCATGAAAACATGATATGTAAATATAAGTAAATATTAAGAAAGAAAAGTGAGTGAATCAATAAATGGATAGATGGATGGATGAATGAATGAATAAATAAATAAATAAAGGTTAGTGACAGCTTAGCAAAAAAAAATCACCAGACAACAGACTAAAAAAACAGACTTTTGTTTTTGTGTTTAGACACATGCATGTCCATGGAACTTGTGATTATTTCCCCGACGTTGTTTCCGGCAGTACAGAGCGAATCTATTACCCTTTGTCCGCGCTAATCTGAATAGTTTCATGTTCTAGAAGTTGAACTAACCGTCGACGACAGACATGTCTCCGTCGTACCCGCGCGCGTTTTTGTGGGGTTGTTCAAAGGATACTTGTGTACACCGTTATGTACGGACAGCCCTCCCTAGCTCATACAGCGGGAGAGCTAGGGAGGGAACTAGAGAATCCAGTCCTATCGACTCAGAAAATTGACCGAAGAATGCAGACGCTTGATTTAACAGACACGCCGTTGAACCCGCAGGATGACATCCTTATAACATTAACTAGAATGACAACATGTTCCTCCACCCGTCATAGTATAGAAAGGCTAACTACTCCAAACTGAAATATGCCATTTTGAATAAAAACTTTTGGGGCCCTAAAAGACAACAGCTAGCTTCTCAACTTATGAATATTGTTGTTTAGTAGTGCGCTGTAGTTATTTTGAACACTGAAATTTATTTTTTTTGGGGGGGGGGGAGCTGGTAGTACATGTTTTCTCAAAGTGGCTGAACACTTTCCTTGATAAAAATATAACGTAATGTGTTTGTAGTTTAGTGGTTAAGAACGCCTGAGATAATGTCAAGGTGGTGGAAAACGTCCTTATATTGGTAGGACCACAAACTTAATTAATGATATTTATCGATAAATTCGTATCTTAAACAAATTAACGATAATCTGCTGTATCTCTTACCAACGATCTGAGCACTGTGTGTAACGTTGATTAGTGGAAATTGATATGCTCCTGTTTGAAACGATGATTTTGACCTTTCTCCTACTGTTGGTGTACCGTTAGACTGTCTTAGACAAAATCGTTAACATTAAGTATAAGACCATTTAGGCATTAGTATTGATAGTAATTGTGAGACGTTAAGTTGCTTTGTGTCTGATAGATCCCACTTATTGTATCATTTTGATCTCTAGAAAATTCTAATGGCACGTGAGCGACAAAAGAGGGAACATACCACACAGTGTGTCATCGTGTGTCTGAGGAGGGAACTTCAGATACTGTTTCTCACGCTTTTGTTAGAGCAGGTAGTGAAAGGAATTTACAGGTGGGCACAAATTCCCACACAACCTGGTTTAGGTTTCTCCTTTCTTCATCAAAAATCCATGGAATGCGAAAAATGACGTAAAGGCATGCAGTCAAAGAACTGGATGGAACAAAAGCTTCACATGTGCAACTGCGCGTCGTGATAGATAAATACAGACCTACTATATCTTTTACTGTTCCTCCTGGAATTTTACTTGAACAGGATTTTATTTAGATTGTGTTTCTTTCTATGGATGAATGGCAGACAGGCGCTTATGATAACTAGATGTGCCAGGCAATCCAATGGAATGCGTGACTCATTATAACATCATTCCTTTTTTTTATCTGTTGCCTGACGATATAGTAACAAAAAGATATATCTTTTTTTTTGGAAAACAGAAAATCACCTGTACAAACTAGAGAGTCATACGGAGGGCACACATGCACATAAACATCATACCGTTATGAAAATAATTTACTTCATTCTACCAATCATGCAGGACGCGTCTGTCTGTGCTGTTAATTTGTATCGTTGATCTATCAGTAGTTATACATGTGAATGTATTCTGCTGTTACAGGTCGTTCTGTCCCATGCTAGCTATATCTTAAGCTTGCGTTTTTCACACTTGCTGAGCAATAAATAAAGTTGATAGGTTTGTGGCATCATGTCGGTACGTATAGGCGTGTAATGGGAATTTTAATAAATGGGCAAATAAGGACCAAATCAGCTGTCAGCAAGATGGCATTTTCCGGTTTAATTTTTTTTATCGGATCGTTCCTCCCCCTATGTAAAACATTATTACTGAGTATGGAGATTTGTTGTTAGCCCCAGCACCTCTCCCTATGGAGATCACACAATGATCCTATAACACGTTCAGAAGGCGATACTTTGAGAATGTGCAGAATGTGGGCTATTCTATCAGAATAAATAGGGGCGAGTCTCAGAAATATGACACGTTTTTTTTTTCATACGATCTAATTTTCATGATCGTGAAACTGTACCGTTTTCTGTTATGGATACCTTCTATTGTTAAGGAATTGAACGTTGATATCGGCTCAAAAACTTAATTCCATCTAACTTAGCTATATATAGTCTCATTTTAAGAACGAAAAAAAGTCTAGGCATTAAGTCTAATTCAAGAGATGGATTTTTCTTTTCAAAGAAATAAGTATGAGTTGCATCTTTACCTTCCACGTCAACGCCAATAAAGGTGTCTGAGAAGGCTTGTCTCACGATGTATGTGTTCTGCTAAAATGTAGAGATTGTTGGGGAAGGCGAGGAAAGTTTCACAATAACCAGGATCGACAACGACTTCTACAAAAATGGGTTAATACTTCCCCTTGTCTGAAGTCAAGAATATTGCATCATCGTCTTAATATTAGATCATGCTTTCCCTAATAATTGAAATATTTCAACTGAAGCAATGTAGAAGTCCACATCGCTGGACGATACCAGGCCAGTCT